TTTTTAAATAAATTGATTAACAACGTGCTTCTTAAAATAACTGCAAAGTATTATAAAATTATGCAAACAATAAATTTAGAACTGTAAACATTTTTATTTCAATATTATTTTACTTTTATTTTTTGTATTTCAATCTTGTGTATTTATCTATTGAATTTTGAATTGAATTATGTTTAATTATTCTATCAAATATTTTATTTTATATCGCACTTTAAATTGCGGTTAAATTTGTTTGCGTCTTAAAACAGTTTTTTTTCTTTTTTTTTTTAAATCAATTAACAACGTGCTTCTTAAAATAACTGCAAAGTATTATAAAATTATGCAAACAATAAATTTAGAACTGTAAACATTTTTGTTTCAATATTATTTTATTTTTATTGTTTGTATTCAAATCTTGTGTATTTATCTATTGAATTTTGAATTGAATTATGTGTTTATCAAATATTTTATTTTATATCGCACTTTAAATTGCGGTTAAATTTGTTTGCGTCTTAAAAAAACGTTTTTTTTTTTTTTTAAATCGATTTACAACGTGCTATGTGTGCTTTTTATATAAAAGTGTAGTTTTTTTGTTCATCAACTTATACTTGTCTAGTATCTCTCGAGTCGAGTATCTATTACGGAGTTCGGCATATGAAGTCAGCAGTTTTGTCTGATCGTAAAATCGTGTGTCTGCGAACAAACTCTTTCTTGCTCCGTATTTTAGTAATTTTTTTTTTTTTTCAGTTCTTTATCTTAATTACTCGATTTTATTCTATTTGATCTAATTGATCCGTCGGATCGTTGTGCGATTGAAAGACGTGATAAGACGTTTCGCATCTTTGTACACTGAGAAAAAAATACTATTAACTCAACTAAATGCGTTTAGTTCGAGTTTCGGTTTGTTATCTGAAATACTTAGTTTTTTCATTCAAGCGTATGGTAATAAAGATAATACAAATTCGCATAAGTTTTGAATTAACACAATAGCGGTGAATGAACATATTTAATTCACTAAACCACGAATTGTTTTTTTTCGAACATAAGTTGTGATAATTTCAAATCAAAAAGATATTGTTAAAAAAAAGATGAAATAGACAATTAAAGAATCTTTTAAGGCTCCGAAGTTTCCAAACTAATAAATATATATATATATATTCGGTCATGAGAGCCGTTCGCGCTAGGTGTTGTGCGTAAATTATACGTGTATATATATACATATATACGTGTTCACGTGTAAATTTTTACACGTGAAATTCGAATTGTAATAACAATTCTAAAATTCATATAGGATCCTATACTTGCATCTCATATATGAGAAATCCCAAATACCCCCCTAATTGAGAAATTAAATTTATATTGTGAAAAAAATAAAATAGACAATTCTCATTTACTTTAATTGAATATAATCGGAATTTCTTTGTACCAATTATTTCATTTCAATCAAACTGCTTATTTTTCTAAGCAGACAAAAAATATTGCGTTGTCCTATTGTGTTGCCTCATTCAAACTTACCTAGTATTTAAGCAAATTATTAATTTTGTTAAAACAACTAAATTGTCTTTCGGTGCAATCTAATTTATTATATCTATTGAAACGTGATATATCTTCTCACATTAATCAATATTTTATCGACAACCCGTATTGACCGCTTCATATATAGTTGAATCGAATACTATTTTGTTACCAACTGTTTTTTCTCAGTGTACGTTTACGATAGTTTTTTTTTTTTAGATGCAAAATTAATAACAACGTAAATCATATTTTACAAAATTGTTTGCGAGATCAAAACTATTGGATAAAAAATTTTACGCGCGCTGTCAATCGATCTTGCTTGATTTTATAGATGTGAGAACATTTAATCGCGATTTGATTTTTTTCGCAAAGCTGCTATCTTTGCGCGTATGTTTTCTCACTCTCTCTCTCTCTCTCTCATTTTCGTTTGTTCGTTCGCGCAGCGATAAGTGATAACGCGGCGCGTTCGATGGCTCAAATAGAATTCAGTGTTACTCGTTATCTGAACGCAACTTGAGTGATATCGCAACAACGGTATATACACACACAGCATGTTGGACAATGAACAGCGAATCTCCATCGGGTTTTCGTATGCGAATTGCTTTCCGTGTAAGTTCGCATTTTAGACTCGAATCTTTTTGGATCGATCCTTGACGCGATTCTCGCTTCAAGAATAAATCTGAGAATGTGAATAATAAATGTTAATCGATCGCTCTGTAAACAATCGATTGTCAATAAAAAAAAAAACCGAATTCGCAATGTAATCAATAGTATAGTTGTGACACTAAAAAAATATGATTTCGCAGCTTTTTTATCTGCTTGTTACAATCTGCATGTATCTTTGAAAATTTTGTTTGTTAATATATTTATAAATAATAAATGCGCGCACAAATGTGCGCGAATAATCGACGCGAGGAATAGATAATTTCTGTCAAACAAAAAGCAAAATGAACAAAATGGTTTTCAACACGAACCGGCTGAAAGTTTTGTTCGAAAGCTGCAAAAGGGGGACGGATGGAAGGAGAAAATAAGAGACATATATATATACATACACATTTTTTGTCGAAGCGAAGCAAGCGTGAATTGTTGTTTTTTTTTTTACTCTGTTGCAGTTTTTCCAAACGTGCCGCCCGCTCCCGGGATGCCGTGTCAAGGGGAAGATAGTGAGTGTGTGTTTTTACCGTTCATTGGAATAGTCGCAACCCGCCGCCGCCGCCGACGTTGAGTTGGCTCAACTCTTCTCCGCTTGCTCTCGATTATTACACGCACGCTATATTAGCCCAATAGCGAGTAACTAGCCAGCGAGTTCTAATTAACCGGCCGGTCGAAGAAATGATTAGCGCGCCCAGATAATATATAAAGTCGCGTAACTTTTGTTACGTGTCTAGAGAAAAGGACGCCGTAGGAGAAACATTCTCATATCTCGTTTTAGATCCAACCACGTTTTTCAATCACGTTTTTTTTCCACTTTCGAATACGTTTTTAACCATAATTATTCATAACATCTCAATGCTCCCGTAAGATTTTCAAGCAACTTCCGTTTTTATTCGTTGCAATCGCGTTGCAACGTGCGTCTAATTAACCGTACAAGAGTAAGTTAATCTACGAACTATGATTAACCATCGGAGAACGCACTGGGGTCAATTTGACTCTGTTCGTCGACTTTGATCAAAATATTTTGCTTCAAACGAATGAATAGTCAAGGCTCGTGAAAAATTGAAACTAAGAATGAAAAGGCCAATCCGAGCCATTCCCAGGATGTTGTGCAGGAATAAGCGTGCATGTATATATATATATATATATATATACACATGTATGAAATTCACATGTAAATTATTTTACATGTGGGTTTTTTTAATTGAAATTTCAATTCATAAAATCATATAGGATGCTAGATTTGCATCTCATATATGAAAGATCCCAAATATATCCCCCTAACTAATTTGAAAATATTGCGAAAAAAAACTCCTCGGCCAGGAGTCGAACCTGGAATCTCCTGCTTTCCGTGCCATCGCCTTCCCTGTTAGGCCACCGAGGCACTTGGAGTTTGTCTCGCAATATCCGTAGGGTTTTATGAATTGAAATTTCAATTCAAAAAACCCACATGTAAAATAATTTACATGTGTATATATACATGCACGCTTATTCCTGCACAACATCCTGGGAATGGCTCGGATTGGCCTTTTCATTCTTAGTATTTTGCTTCAATTTTGCTTTTTTGTAACATATTTTTTACAATGTTAATAATGTTAACGACACTTAAAAATTATATAGGCGTATTCCAAACTGTTCAAAATATATCCGAAAATTTTTTTCAAGCCAATCGGATAAGTGCATTTTAAATGGTAGCATCTCAAAAAGTGGACAGGGTCAAATTGACCCAGATTGTTCTTCTTGATTGAAAAAATAGGTGTGTTCCCCGAGGGTTAATGCAGCCAAGAGCAGAGATTAGCAAAAATTTTTTCAAACAACATTTTATTTTTGAATGAACTCTGTGCTGGGAGATAGAATGCGCGAGACGTTACGTTTGATTGATTTGACGAAAGGAAAAGAGAAGATGATAATGTGCGAAATCACGTCACGAAGTAACGTTTGGAGTTCTGCGATAGCATTTATTCGTTAAAATTTGAAATACGTTTAAAAAAACAAACTCAAGTACAAATTATAAGAAACACGTAAACCAAAGAACCATAGGTCCAAGGTGACGGTGGAAATAACTCGCAACAGTAGTCTGTGTGGATAAGTGGACGTTTCGATCCTTTTATTGTTGGATCATTCTCAACACTGTATAAATTGAAAAACAGAATAAGACACATGATTGCAATATATTTTTTAAATATTGTAATTTTAACGTAACAAAAAGTTATATATTACAATTTTATATAAGGAAATTTATTTAATGATAAAATCTTTTTTATCACTTGTGGTTTTTTATTACTTGACAATTAAATTTAAATTTGACTTCTTGTTTATAAATTGTATACTAATATAAATAAGAAGTCAAATTTAAATTTAATTGTCAAGTGGTAAAAAAGATTTTGTCATTAAATAAATTTTTAAATATTGTAATTTTAACATAACAAAAAGTTATATATTACAATTTTATATAAGAAAATTTATTTAATGACAAAATCTTTTTTACCACTTGTGACAGTTAAATTTAAATTTGACTTCTTGTTTATAAATTTTTGACTAATATAAATAAGAAGTCAAATTTAAATTTAACTGTCACAAGTGGTAAAAAAGATTTTGTCATTAAATAAATTTCCTTATATAAAATCGTAATATATAACTTTTTGTTATGTTAAAATTACAATATTTAAAAAATATATTGCAATTCTCTATTGACTTGTTATATTTTATCACCTCTTATTGATATATGATTTTATTTGAAATTTCGGTTTAGAACACTGATGACATAGACATCACACATTGTTTTGTTTTGTATGCCTATGTCATTAGTTTTGGTTGCTGCTCCTTGCCTTTATACTCGATATATGTTCACGCAATGATGATTTGTCTGCTTATGTGCGTACACCATCATTTTTATTTTTATTTTTAATTTTAATTTCAACCATAATTTATTGTACAGTCATTTTTAATTCTCCTGAAAGAATTAATCACTCTTTTCTTATGCAATCGTGTATCTTATTCTGTTTTTCAATTTATACAGTGTTGAGAATGATCCACAATAAAAGGATCCTCCACTTATCTACACAGACTACCGTTGCAAGTTATTTCCACTGTCACCTTGGACCTATGGCTCTTTGGTTTACGTGTTTCTTATAGTTCGTCTCCGCTGAGCCTTTAACTTTATTACTGATCAAGTATATAAATGGTTAACATGTTTAATATTTTTGTCAATAAAAGAGATTTGTTCAAATTCAGTATCTTCGTCGGTATTTTTAAGTACACGCGCGCTAGAACGATTGCTTTTATGTTCCGTCGCTCTCTTCAAATTGTCGGTTTAGGTCTTGATGATCAATAGCGCGACAAATTTAAATTAATCAGTTAAGTGTTGTTTTCATCATTTGTGACATTTATGTTATTTCATTTTCCGAAGGAAGCATCTACAGACGAGGCGCTCGTAGATGGAGGAAGCTGTACCGAGTGAACGGCCATATTTTTCAAGCGAAACGATTTAATCGGGTAAGCATCATCATGTCATTTTAATTATCATTACACCACAATCTTTATTTTACTCACATCACTTGATATATCCCTCATTCTTCTCTTCGCTCTTCTTGCAAACACACGACCCTTGCGAAAATTTATATCTTAACACTTAAGATGCGACGTTCAATCACGAACGTTCTGTGCGAAGCTCTTGTGTGGAAGCCCAACTGTACTTCCAGTCGCTCTGAAAACTTGCTGGCTAGTGTTTTTTTTATCATCGTCAAAGAGAGCAAACTAGTGTTTTTTCTCTCTTGATCATTTCATCCATTTTTTTGACTGTTGAAGCAAAAACACAGTTTTTGGAGTGTGTATTTTTTTTTAAATTCGTTTATTAAAAATCTATAGCATAAACGTTTTCAACCTTTTAATTAGGTCCTTATCAAATGCATTTCTACAAAGAATTAGCGATTAGAATCCAATTAATGAAATTTGAAAATAATTAATTAAGAATCGCAGAATAAAAACAATATACAAAAGTCACTTACAAATATCTTAGCTATTATACGTCGCTGAGTGCTGATCGTGGATGTCCATGTTGCACAAGTCGTCCCGACCAACGATCAGCACTCAGCGACGTATAATAGCTAAGATATTTTTGTAAGTGACTTTTGTATATTTGTTTTTATTCTGCGATTCTTAATTAATTACTTTCAAATTTCATTAATTGGATTCTACGCTAATTCTTTGTAGAAATGCATTTGATAAGGACCTAATTAAATGGTCCAACCCTTAAAAAAGGTTGAAAACGTTTATGCTATAGATTTTTAATAAACGGATTTTAAAAACAATACACACTCCAAAAACTGTGTTTTTGTGCTTCAACAGCCAAAAAAATTCATTTGTTCGTTGAAAAATTCCTGAAGCTACCATACACTCATCTTTGCATTTCATCCACGTTGTCGAAATTGTAAAGTTGTTTGTTCATACGAAATTGAACAATTTATATACAAATCCTTTTTTCTGTTTTGTTTCGCGTTATAATTCTCTTAAACGGATTATTCTATCGCAACCTTTTTTGCCCGGTATTTTATTCGCGATTGCTGCTTTTAAGGACGTTCTCCGACTACAGCGGTTAGCAACCTAAATACAGTGGTTAGCAACCTAAAATATCTCTTCTCATGAGTAAGTTTGTACTGCTGTAACAAAGTTAAGTTGTGAGCTATTCAGCACTGCTGAAGACCCGCTTACTCTCTGCGCAGAAGTTCAAAAATAGCTGCAGTACACAGCGCACATAAATCCAGCAAAACAAAAAAAAAA